CTGGTCAGTGGAGAGACAGAGGGAGAAAAGTATGTTAAAAGTAACTAGTTCTTCTACATTCCCTGTTTGATTAGGTTCCAAAAAAGAGGCACTCTGCATTTCTATCCTGAGTTGATAGTGTTTTTATCAGTCTTTGAAATTCCCAGCACTTCCTTAGTGAAGAAAAATGGCGCTTCTGCACAGTAAGTCTATTTAACCGAAGAGAAGTTAGGAAGCAGAATTCCAGTTTTATGTCCATTTTAAAATAGTGGGCCTTCCCTTTCTTGGGGAACAAATTTCCGCCCCTCAGGGAAATCTTCCCTCCCCTTAGGTAAAAGATGCTAAGTGATCCATCTGACAAATTGCCCCAAACAAGACTTCATCTATCTCATCTATGTATTTTGCAGGACTAGGGAAAGTGACAGGAACGACTTTATCAACTTTTTTGTTAATTCTCTTGGGTATCTGGGGAGAAACACCTCAGAGAGTCAGCAAACAGAACTTTTAAAAGCTAAAAAATCGTTAAGTGGGAGGAAAACCTTTTTTAAAAAGTGGAAGAAACCATGCTAAAGTAGAGGTCAGGTGAAGATTTTAAAAGCAAGCCTGTGAACATAATGAAGTGGACATTAAATATGAAGGATATAAAAGTAATAAAGTGCTGAACAATTTTTGCAACCTTACAAGGCATAGTAGATACAAAACTTAAGCAAAAGGGTCTCTGACCTTCTTAACCTTAGTAGAGTTTAGATCCACCCCCAGAACTCCCTTTCTGCCTAGTGTGAATGTAATTAAGGGGAAGCTGCAGTGGTAATTTCTCTCCTCATTAACTTCCTGATTGGTTTCAACCTCAGGATTCTGCCGGGCAGTAGTTTGTCACCAATTCCAAATGGCCAATCGTTAATACTAATGTTTGTGTAACTAACTGCCAGCATCTGCCACGGCTTCTTGTACAACAATAATGGTGAAAGGGTACATTAGTGCTCCTGTGTTAATTCAGCTTGTGTTCATCAATAGGGAAATCTATGATGTAATTAGCAAAATGCATTGGGAGCTGAGAGCTGAAGTCATTTGTAGGGAACTAAATCATGGTAGAAGCTGTACTGGGTCCTGATGTGTTTGCCATCAATACTTATTATGTTTGGAATTTAATAAGGTATATTACTATGCTGAAAAGAGACTTTTATAAGACAACACTATTTACACTTTGTTGTGGGTTTGGGAAAGGCAGCTTGTGGAACCACACAAATTAAAGAAGAGAACTGGGGTCTAAGAAACAGACCTTTAGCTACTCCACTGGACAAAATTATTTCAGAAAGCTGCTTTTTTTTTTTCATCTGGCATAGGAATAGACAGACGGATGGATAGCTTTGTACAGTTACCTCAATAAGGAAAGGCACGATCTGAAAACTTAGAAGTGAATAAATTTGAAAACAATGTAGGCAACTTCTGACAAGCAATTACTTTTTATATTGATAGGTTTTGTTTATTTTATTGTAACTTGAAATGGAAATCAAGGATACTAATTTATAAGTTTTTTTCTTGTATAAAAGTAAACACATTTAACTCCAGAGGCCCCCCAAAACAAGCATGTCTGTATATAAATATGAAGCACCCTCCACCCAAAACTACTCATCATTTTACTGCAACTCAGGAAGACTTCTCACTAAATTTGAACAGTTATATGCATTTTTAAGATTTATTTTATTCATGCATACAAGAACTGGGGTGTACACTGCTGAGGGGTGCAGCGGGCAAGTATGAGTTAGCTAGGGATGCATATGAATTAGCTGGGGATCAAACTCATGCCTCAGGGCTGGTGGTAACATCGAGATTTTAACATCTGCGCCACCACGTTGGCCCCTATATGCACCTTTAAACCCCTGAAAATCCAATATGATTCGGGTAACATGCAGGAAGATATTGTATATACACAAAAATGTTTTTCATCCTATTCCTACATCCAGATCTGGAAAGCCTAAGAACCAGAATCTACTACACCTCCAAATTCCCACCTTAAGTGAATGACAGCTCTTCTGGCCTTGTGGGTCCTGCCTTTGTTCCTCAATTAGCAACTGACCTAGGAGATGCCACCCACCCCATCCACAGTCCCCCAAACCCCTATTTTGCAGACTTGGAACTGAAGGAAAGGGGAGTAGGATGGGAATTCTGCAAAAGAAAGGAATTTGACAGTACTCCTTTTCCCTTTTGCTCTTACTGGCCTTGTGGCTATGTTCTTGGAAAGTATCCCTGTGTCCTGGCACAACAGAGACATGCAGAGCGTGTTACCTGCCCAGAGGAGGGAGGATCCAACATACTTAATGCATGACTGCACTCCCAAGAAGATGAAGTCAAGAAACTCAACCTGTTTTTTGAAAAGTACATCTATTTTTTTTTTAAGTACATCTATTTTTAAACACATTTCTCTCAAAATTGAAGTCAGAGCATTTTTACTTTTGTTCATGGCTTAGCATTGTCTTTGAATAACAGGCTGCTGACATTAGGAATATTATTTGTTGAACTCATTTTGTGCGACACCTCATAAAATAGCTGCAAGTACAATAAAAGATTCAGTAAGTATTCACCTTAGTACCTACTGCCCCAAATCTATTTCACTGCCACCTTTAAAGATACCCTTTCCATTTTAATGAAGCTTCATTAAACTTTGTTAAGGGAGAAGAGTACATTAATTGATCATTGTAAATCATTTAGTACCAATTAAAAAATCCAAAGTCAAAATTACCCTTTTTGCTTTTTAGGTTGATTCTAATGAAACTTGCACAAGCTAATTTCAAGTCCAAAGTTCCCTCTTAATTATTTTGTAAAAATGCTAATACCCAGTGTCACTGGGACTGTAAGGAAGGACTTGCAGTTGATAGCAGTAGAAATTGGTTCAATCTTTCTGGACAGCAATCTAGTGACATGTAATAAGAACCGTAAAACTGTTCATACCCTCTGACCTGGTAATTCCACTCTGGGGAATAAGCCTGAAGAAAGAAAGAATAATTGGCCCAGAGATGCTCAACACACCCCTATTTGCATCAGTGAAGATATTAATGCTTTGCTCTGATGCTGGGAGTTTGGAGAGGGGGTGGGACCGCAGCTTTGGAGTTGGGGGATAGGAAGCATTCACAGGAAATAAACAGTTCAGGAATATGCTACTCTATAACCATGCATTGGATCCCAGCATTTACAGAAAAGGAAGAAATGACTTCTGGAGACTGAAAAGTAAGAAAAAGAAAAGGGAAAACTTGCCTATCTGATCTTTTTTCCCGTGTCACAATGAAGGTGGGTAAACCTCTAAGGCTGACCCTTGTTTGAACCAGCAAACCCGGGTAGTATCTGTTTTCTCTCAAGTAGCCTATTTGTCTACAGAAGCTAAAGCCTTTTTCACTTACTATTTAAAGACAAACAAGAACCTTATACATAATCACTCTTACCAATGCAATGGGGAAGGAACTTCAGAGGGTTTCAGTGATGCCACAGAACCTGTAATATTCCTTTCGGAAAATATTATAAGGATACTGTCAAAAAAAAAAAAAAAACAAGAAAGAAAACCCTATCCAACTCTCAAAAACAAAACAAAAACCACTCTAAGGGCTAAATCTTTTGACATTGCAAAGACCCCTGACTTTTAACTTGAATGATCTGTTGGAAGTCAATGGACTGGAACGAATAATTCTCTTCCAGTGATGTGAGAAAACAGGATATTCATGCTTGAGGAAAAAAAAAAAGAAAATCTCCCTCTATTAAATACTATTAAACTCCTATAAAAAATAAAAATAAAAATGCAAGTGGCATACTTCGATTGTTAGCAACTCTTCACCTAGACGCTGACGTGAGGAAAACTGAATTGCTGGCCTCTGGTTTCCTAGAGTTTGCAGGCACAGGAGTCTGATGAAAAGCTGGTGAAACTTTCTTCACAAATTCTTCTGCTTCATGATAACCATAGTGTTTGGAAATAAAATCATGTCCAATCAATACCACTTAGCAGATATTTAATGTTTCACAATAGAACTCTTTTCCATCGTGGAACTGCTGCCCTTCTCACTAACATTTAAAATAATTAGGATTATCTTAGCTGTCCGAAGCTTGGCAGGTTCAGTTTGTACTTTCAAACAGCATTAATTCTTGGCACTGAGAACAAGGGATAAAAGGTAAAGATATGAATGGAGATCTTTATTCAACCTGATCTATCATGGATTAGCTCATTCTTTTCCAGTTCATGCCTGCACTCTAGTTAAGAGGACGGCTAAGCTGTAACTGATGTAATTAGAAACCACAAGCTGAGAAAAAAATAGCCCTTTATTAATCTCTCCCATTTACTATAAATTTACTAAAAAAATAAGAATCTTTGAAACAATTAAGTGTGTTTTTTCCACCTAAGTGTAGTTCAAGCGTGCTGACAAGAAAGAAGTGTTCTTGAGGATTATGTTTTCCTTGAAAACATATCTTAATTGTCAAGTTTTAAAACCTGACACCAACTTTGAGAGGGGCTGCCCTGCACTTTTGCATACTGCAAAAGGAAACGGCTGAGTCCTGGTAAACAGAGCTGCTGTACCTGGAACCCTGCATGGCAGTTCCCTCCTCCATTCAGACATCACCACCTCAACAAGCATTGGGGCTGGCCAGCCATTTTAAAACCTAAGTGAACATTATTTTCAGAAGTGCATATTGGTGCAACTCAACAGTCAGTCCGTTCCCCGGTAAATTTATTATAGAATACATATTCCCAAAATTACACTAGACCAACTCCTGCAGCATGTTGGACAGAGTGCTGGCCTGGGGTCAGCAGTGCAGGATGGCCCTGCTGTTGCTGCAAACAGCTTCAGTGAGCTGGGCTGGCCCTGCTGCAGTGAGGAGTCTGAGATATGGCACACCCATCCCCACACGGAGCTGGACAAGTACACAAAGGAAAACCCTCTTTCTGGGTGTCGTCGTGTAGTACATGAAAAGAGAAAGGGACATCTTTTAGCTTCCTTGGGGCCAGGCAGACTCTTCTCAGGGGTAAGTATTTCTCCTCT